ATTATATTGCATAACAATTGTCGACAATAAAGTAGTCTGATCTGTATATTAAGATTATTAAGTATGCATGTAGACTTTAAGTCCATAATAACAGTTTTTTTATGATACGATACGACACCATACTACGATGGACATTCTCCTTTAAAAATTTAAAAATCTTGCCAAATCCTCCCTGTAGGTATGTCATTCAGTTTTATAGAGCTCTTGTAAAATTTAATTTTATGTAATTACTAGTGGCCCGCCCTCGCTTCGCTTCGGTGTAGAGCTGTAGTGTAAACTATAGTTTTTGTTCTCAGGCTTGTGCTATAAACAATGACTTTATTTATATAATTACACGTGTTATTGTGAGTCAACCATAAAAGATAGACATATGCTGTTGCGGCACACTTTAACCATTAAAGCTGCACACGCGACGGAAGCTTAAAAAATGGAGTAACTTCTCCCGTTTTTCCAACATTTCCCTTCACTACTCTGCTCCTATTGATTGTAGCGTGATGAAAAGTATACTATAACCTGCCCAGGAGTATGAAGAATAATTGTAACAAGTTTCGTTAAAATCCGTCAAGTAGTTTTTGTTTCTATAAGGAACATACAGACAGACAGACAGACAAAAATTTTACTGATTGCATTTTTGGCATCAGTATCGATCACTAATCACCCCCTGATAGTTATTTTGAAAATATATTTCATGTACAGAATTGACCTCTCTACAGATTTATTATAAGTATAGATATCTTTTTGTTCGCCACCTCCTCATATGATTTCTTTATATTTTCAATCCCTATTCTTTACAAATGGTGAAAGATTTATAAAACAATATCCCTCTAGTATGACAACTTGTCATCGCGGCATATTGCAGGGGCACTGCGCACGTGTCGGCCCCCTCACTCGTTAGCTGTTATAATTGAAGCGTGTAATCTCATAATACGTTTAGTTAGGGCCCCATATTTTGACATGGTCACCCTAATTTCGACTTTTAGTAAAATTGGAGCGTTTAAAGCTCCATTCAGAGTTATTTGATCTCAAATTTAATTGATATCTGAGAGAAAACTGTTTTTTCTTAAAAATGCTTGGGGTCATTATTTGTAACCCATATTTGTTATAAATCGAAATTGCTGTAGGTACTGGCCAAATACATGCTAGCAGCGACCGGGAAAAGTTGTATTATAATTACATATCTGACGTGGTTTAATTTCGGTCAAAAATTCTTAAGATTTTTAAGGGCGTCTCAGGTCAGCGCGTAAAATCCGTCTCGGTAAATATAGCCTCACTTGAGGTATGATATCTTATTTTAAATTATTTCGATTAATACAAAACGAAATAACTCGTTGGCCAATGAATGGTAAAAATATTTTATTTCGTGGGTTGATGATTGAGGTTGATATCACATTTTAATTTTTTCACCTTTACCGTTTTTTTCCAAGTAGATACCAGGGTTTTTTTTATAAGATAAAAAGTCGTATGTGCGAAACATTTTGTTATTTGTAACCTTATTCCTTTGTGAGACGGTTGCTATTAGGTTCAACTTACACTGTTTTAAAATCATATCATCTTTGTTCATTGGGAATCGAATGTAGCTGCTTAAGTTTAAACATACGCGGACAGTTTTTAGTTTTGATTTTTATGCAATCCGTTATCTATAGAATTGTTGACCGAAGTGGTTTAGCGTCCAATTATCATAAAAATATCTTAGTGTCGCCGCACACGGACCACACGCCACACGCTACAAATCGTCGTTGCTCGCTTCTTGTGGCCCAAGTGGTTTGTACAGCGGGTTGCAAGGTATCGCCTACTCGAGAGCTCCCTGGTTCAAATGCCAGTGGGTTCAGATGTTTGTGTGATGAATACGAGCATTTGTACTCCAGTCATAGATGTTTGATATAAATACACTTATATATGTATCAGTATATGTATTTTATCCGCTACCCTAGTATCACATAGCACAAGCCTACAGTACTTACTTTAGGGCTAGGCTAGTTAGTAAAAAAAAACTCCCAGATCATAAAGAAGTATATATAATTAGACGCGCCATTAATAGGGGAACACATGAAATGAAGACGCTGTGATGCAGAAACCTGGCGGAGCTTTTAAACAACAAAATTAAAAAAAAAAACAATAATAATCTCTTATCTATTAGACAAGTCCGTCCGTCCGTCCGTCCGTGGTGCTGTTTCAGCGGTCAAACCGTAAGAGATAGATAAAGAGAATGTTTAAGTTATAAGTTAAGAATAGTCTGATAAGACTACAAACCGGATTTGAGTAACGTAGCACTTCCGGTTTTCGAGAAATAACGTGATTTCTATTTCAAACGAAACCACACAAAATCTCCGAAGTTCTCAATTAATTAAATACGTTTTTTTTTTTGGTGAACACTTGGTTCACTGGTTTGCTAGTACATTTTTAGTATGATAAGACTGCCCGGTTTCGTTTGTTCCTCGATGAAGAGGAGCGGTAGGACTACACGAAAATGCAAGCCCTTATGACTGGCTTTACGTCGAGTTTACAAACTACAAGCTAGCGAGTTCCTAGCAGCTTGTATAAGTCGCAGCATGAAACTCAAGCGCTGACCATTATTGCGCAGAAGTAAAAATTAAGATGTGTTTGGGGGAAACGAGGTGCGCGGGGGGGGCGTGTGTTGCGCCGATTGGCTCTCCAGTCGTATCCATGCGCAACTATCATCATCATCATCATCAGCCTATTAATGTCCCCACTGCTGGGGCACAGGCCTTCCCTATGGATGGAATAGGGAGATTGGGCCATGACCCACCACGCGGGCCCAGTGCGGATTGGTGGGTGCTAACGACTGCAAATGCAGCCGGGACCAACGGCTTAACGTGCCTTCCGAAGCACGGAGGACAACGAGATAGTAAATTTGTGGTCATCCATCCAATGACCGACCACTGCGAAAGTTGCTTAACTTCAACGATCGCAGCCGAACGCGCTAGCCACCTGCGCCATCGAGCTCCTCAATGCGCAACTATCCCTGACGCTTTTTGTTGACGCCTCCGATTCCTCCCACACAGGCCACAAACACTACACAGCTAGCAAACGTGCACACTAGCTTAGCATTAGGCAGACACCGCACCCGTAGGATAAGAGTGCGAAGACCGGTCTACACACGACACGCTATACCAGGTACAGGTACATATCTGAGCGTTTTTCCCCGCCCCCCGCGACAACGGATAACTTGATCCGAGGTGCGAGTCTTAGAGACGCCCTCTAGTTGAGCCGACCCCCTCAGGTTCGAGTGGTCTACAGGCTCCAGACGGAGAGGAGACTCCCCCCGTGGGGGACGCCATGCGCCAGGAATACCTCTAGAGGCACTCGCCAATTCTCGACTTGAGGTCCCCTTAGGATCTCGCCGTCCCCAAACCCGGTGACGCTGTAAAGGTCATCTGCGACCAACAGCATACACACTCAAAAAAGAACATTTTTTTTTGAGCGCTAGAGTTACGTGCCGCGACTTGTAAACTCGGCCCGTGTCATCGAGTAGCAGATTGTAAGAAAGCCGATGACACACTCAAGTTTACAAGCTGTTAGCGAACTCGCTGGCTTGTAGCTTATAAACTCGTCCCCTACCTTCGAGGCTTTATAAAATAGAACGTCTTTTGTAGCCGAACGAGATTAGATGTTGAACGACTTTTGAACTCGATCGACTTTAGAAAGCCGAACGACTATTGTAGTAGAACGACATAGGTATGTAGTCGAACGAGTTAAATAGACGAATAGTCTGTCTTCGAAAGACTTATAAAGTCAGAGAGCTTGTCACTTCGAACGTCTTTTAATGGCCAGTGCTAAAGACGTCATGGATCGACGCTATACTGGTGAATTGTTCCGAAATATATTGGCCAGTGAACTGACGTCATAAATCGACGAAATATTAAAAATACCGCGAATAAAGAAGATTTTTTATTCACCTCATCAATTGAAAGGAATTCTTTTTGTTCGGATGCCATTATTGTTCTTTAAATAAAAATGAAAAAAAAATCGAATGCATCTCACGCACGCTCGATCCTACGTCATATTCGTTTTCCCGGTAAAAAATTGGTAGCATACCAGTACAATATGGCGTCGGATTCGTGACGTCATTACCACAGACCAATATACTGATGTCAAGGGCGGATCCAGCTTTGGCGCCAGGCGGGTCATATAGTCGTGGTATATTAAATATTGAAAGTACTTAAATAAAGTCCCCCTGGGTTTGGTCCATCTGTACCCAGCCCAGGGGGGGGGGTCATCACCCCCATGCCCCCCCCCCCCCCCCCCCCTGGATCCGCCCTTGACTGATGTACATTTCGGAATACACCCATTGTCGAAGGACTCTTGAAGTCAAACGCTCTATGTTTTCGAATGACTTATTACATGAATGTGTTTGAAATAGTCACCTAGACTTATAAAAGCACATTATTTTAATAGAATGATCATATTACTTAGCTCCGTGGATCGTCGAATGTACCTTTTGAACATGTTTCGGCCACGATTTTGTTTGTCAGCGACACAAACAATCTAGGTTCTAGGGAAATTAAAATCGTTGAGATACTGTGATAACAGTTGATTTTCAACGCGTTCTCGGAACGATAACAAAGTCGATTGCTCTGCAAGATTATTTATGTTTTGCTAACCATACAACTGTGTGCTGAATAAATAAATAAATATTACCAACACTCACACCAATTTGCCTAGCCCCATAGTAAGCACTGTAAGGCTTGTGTTATGGGATACTAGGGTAACGGATAGAATACATATATTGTACATATCTAAGTATATTTATATAGAAATACGTATTAAACATCCATGACTGGAGTACAAATGCTCGTATTATTCACACAAACATCTGCCCCCACCGGGATTCGAACCCGCGACCTCTCGAGTCGGCGACACCATGAAACCCGGCGTACAAACCACTCGGCCACGGAGGTCGTTGAACTGTCAAGCGTGAACTGGCATTATGATGAAGAGCCCAATTCTGACACGTGACAATAAAAATAAATAAAACACGGTATGAATTTATTAAAACACTTATAATGTAACATTTATTAGTATCGTCGTCCAAGGTCAAGGTCGGGGTCAGGGTTTCTCCTTGGGTTTATGGTCCGGTTTGTTGGTAATTCTTTCCATCACCTCGTGATTGTAAGTGGAGTGCAGCATGAGACCCAATACGCCAGCCCTGAGGACAAATTGAATTATTAATAATTTTTACAATTCGGCTAGTTTCAAAATGGTTCATTATCATCATCGTCAACCTATTAACGTCGCCATTGCTGGGGCACAGGCCTTCCCTATGGATGGAATAGGAAGATTGGGCCATGACCCACCACGCGGACCCAGTGCGGATTAGCGGGTGATAACGACTGCAGATGCAGCCGGGGCCAACGGCTTAACGTGCCTTCCGAAGCACGGAGGAGCGAGAGATTTTTGATCACCCATCCAATGTCAGACCACTGCGAAAGTTGCTTAACTTCAACGTTCGCAGCTGAACGCATCATCATCACATCATCACCGGATACGTCAATTGAATTAACGTCTCAGAAAAGAGTGGTAAGGCATGGAAAATGTTCCGTACGATTGGAGTACCCTCCACTTTAAAACTTGACAAATATAGAAGACCATAGTGAAATATCACTGAAATGTCTTTTTGACACTTGATATTTACTTATGAGTTCATTTTATGGCAGGGCAATCTAGTTGCTTTATCTAAAGAAAATATATGACTAGAATAAAATCCACGCGGACCAGGCAGCAGAGGGGACTCGAACCCGCACCCTTGGCTATCCGGGCGAATGCACTGACCATTATGCTACCGCGGCCCTGACGGCCTTGTCGATTTCTTTCTAACCTTTCATAAGCTGCAAGGCAGCGCCATCTCTTCGCATTGTAGGTAACCCACAATGTCAAATTAATACCTTTACAGGTATGAAACATTTGAAAGAATAAATAGCAATTATAGTTATAATTTTTATTGTTTAAGCATTCGATGTTTCAATCTAAAGAAAATATTATATTCTTCGTTTAAACGTTTAATACTTGGTAAAGGTATTCATTTGACATTGTGGGTTACATACAATGTGAAGAGATGGCGCTGCCTTGCAGCTTAAGAAAGGCTAGAAAGAATTCGACACGGCCGTCAGAGCCGCGGTAGCATAAAGGTCAAAGCATTCGCCCGGATAGCGAAGGGTGCATGTTGCCTGGTCCGCGTGGAATTTTTTCTAGTCGTATTTTCTTTAGATTATATTAAAAAAAACTATTAGGAAAAAAACTTATTTATTTAATACTAGCTACCGACCGTGATATCGTCATGCTTTTTTGAGAAGCCAATCCTTTCGTTTTTGTGGGAAAAAAGATTATCCTTTACCACGATCCAGTTAATAAACCTATGTGTGCCAAATGTCATCCGAACCTGTTCAGCCGAAAACGGCTGCGCATAAAAATGCGTCATCAAGTGTCAACAAAATCAAAACTTGTCAAGTATGTTTATAATATTAATTAAGCATAATGTTAAATAAAAACAGTTTCAACGGTATAGATGCACTGATTTATTTTATCTATGACGTTTCGCATCCTATTCGGGCTGCGTCGTCAGAATTAAATAAAAAAAAAGTATGCTAAACATCATAAATAAATAAATCAGTGCATGAGACTTTTTGGCAGGATCGGGAAGCGTCACTTTAGCAGTTTTGTTTTTCTTGTTAAAAATTGTGTTGTGGCGGATGTTAGTGTCTAATAATGGTGGATTGTTAATCACTAAGTGTTCGGGAACATGCACAAGTGTTAGCAAGTGAAACTAAATAGCGGAAAGTGTCTTTCGACGTTCCCTCAAGAAGTTCACGGGGAGGTTCCAGTAAATCCCTACACATTTACCGAAACATAGGGAAAGGGGGATTGACTTGACTGCCACTTACTTTGACTTGATTTATCACTTTGACCACGAGTGCTTCAGAATTTGTAAACATTTTAACACTTGACATTGGCTAAATGCACAAGCCGTGAGAAGCCATTTAGAAAAATAAACAGTGCATCTATACCGTCGAAACTTGTTTTATTTCATAAGTGGCATGCGTGAAAACCAATGAAACAAGCATAATATTGATGAAGTTCACCTGGAAGCCATAGCTAATCGTATGCTCCTCTCCTGTTCCACCAGCTCATCCAATCTCAGCCATTGCCTCACTCTCTCCATATCGATCTCCGCTCGTCTCAGCTTCTCCCATTGATAATGTTTCAAGCAAGACTTCTTCGGAGCCCTACAGAACTCCCCCGTTGGCTCGAAAACTCTCTTTACAAGCGGACAACCACAAACGTCGGTATCAATCACTTTGGGGTCTTTGAAGTGTTCCGGGCACATTACCTGAGGGTTGATTATAGGGGAAAGGTTAGTTTAGTTGGATTATACTCTGTATACTGGGCCCGCGTCGTGGGTCATGGCCCAATCTCCCTAATCCATCCATAGGGAAGGCCTATGCCCCAGCAGTGGGGACATTAATAGGCTGATGATGATACTCTGTATCCAGGCGAATATTTACCCGGGGTCAGGGCATTGAAAGGCATTCGTTACAGAAGTATATTTATCAGTAATCTTGTTTTTTAAGGAAATGATCTAGGGGCTGTTCAAGTATTACGTAAGCACTATAGGGGGGCAGGGGGTCTCTGTTTTGCTTATTTTTGATGACATGGGGGGGGGGGATAGAGATGGTGATTACGTCAGCATCATCGATTAAGCCTTTTTAAGTACTGCTGCTCATTAAGCTCATGAAAGCTCATGAATCAATAAAAAAAACAGAATACATTAAAGGAAAAAATGCATATAGGTACCAATGTTTACGTAAGGATGGGGGGGAGGGGTAAGAGCTTTGCTTACTTTTGCTGACGAGGGGGAGGAGGGGGTAAATAATTGTAATAAATCTGCTTACGTAATACTTGAACGGCCCCCTACATGAAAACTACAAATTCCTTAGTGAACATTGTTTGTTTTTTAATTGACGTTTTGATAATTGAGTTGAGTTTTGATGATTATTGTACTCATATTCTATACGCTCCATATGATTTATTTCCTTATTTTGTTTACAAATGTTTGGTATTTATTGTAAGATTAGCTCAGTGCTAAAAAAAAGTGTTCCGAGTTTTTTTTGCAAACCGTACTTTTCAAGCGACCTTTGACAGATGGAGGTCATTGGCTTTCCTATTCTTATTTGAATCGCATGGTACATTTGTCTACTCGTTTGTAATAACCAACTTGCCACAGTAATATCATAAAAAAAAATGGATGCGTGTAACTATGTACGCGCGTGAGAAGTTATACTTCTTTAGCATCATTAAAAATATTTTTTAATTGCATGCAAATAATTAATAATTACAATAAAATAATAAAAGGACTGGAAAAGGATAGTTAACACAGTCAATTAAGTTCAGTTTTAATTTGAAAAATTAAATAAATATTCAAAATATTCAATTAAAATCACTACTGAATTTAACTTATTAGTCCATATGTAATTAGCACTTGTAAGTAACTAAAACACGTTGTGTCTATATAGAAACTAGAAACATGTGGATACATATTATAAATATGAAAACAGTGATCAGAGGCGACGAGCGTGCCAACATTGTTTTTAACAACGCGATCATCTTATGGAGCTCCGTGGATCGTTCAAAGTACCTTTCGAACAGATGTCTAATAATGGTGGATTACTAACCACTAAGTGGTTAATAATCCACCATTATTAGACACTAACATTCATAACGCACCCGCGGCCAACTTCATGGTGTTACTATTGTGTTACAGTGATGCGCGCGCATCTCGAAATTTCACTCTCATCATTTTTTCATAACGCGCCCGCGGCTAACTTCATTATGTTACTTTTGTGTTACAGTGATGCGCGCGCATCTTAAAATTTCACTATCATAATTTTTTCATAACGCGGCTAAAGAAGTATAACTTCAAAAACTATTACCCCCTTATTAATAAACGAAGACTACGCTTGGATAAGTTACTTCAGCGTTGCCATTGATACGGCAATTTGAGCTCATAATTTCAGATTATACGGCATACGGCAGGTTTGTCATTACCGTATAATAATATACGGCAATCCAATCCGATTTTTTTTTGAACCGATTTACAAGGATAATTTTTTGAGTTAATTACGATTCCAACAGAACATCGTATAAAATTGTAGTTTAGGCAAATCCCTAGCACGGAGAATGTATCCTTACTGGGAATCCACGTGCAGTAGAACTAAATTAGTTTCTGAAACGGTAAATAGAACTCTTTTGGCGAAGCAATCCATCAGAAATCAAGTAACTACAACATTTTAGCCCGTGACATATGGCTGGATGTTAAAAACAAGGGCAAATCTAATATATAAAATTCTCGTGTCGCGGTGTTTGTGGTTAAACTCCTCCGAAACGGCTTTCCCGATTCTCAAATTTTGTGTGCATATCGGGTAGGTCTGACAATCGGACAACATCTATTTTTCATCCCCCTGAATGTTAAGGGTAATCCACCCCTAATTTTTTTTTTCAATTTTAGGTAAATTTTTTTTTTTTTTTTTTATGATACATCATACAAAAATACATACAACCCTAAATTTTCACTCTTCTACCACCAACCCCTATTTTTTATGGCGGTACGAAGTTCGCTGGGTCAGCTAGTATAGTATAAATAAACACGACAGGGAAATAGTTGTCTTTTAAAAAATTGTATGACGGTGATATTAATGAGTACGTTATTTTATATTTGTTTCCTTTATATAATAGTTACTGTTAATTAGTTACAAACTACCTATAAATTTTAATAAATAAAATGAGTTAATACGGCAATATCATGATTTTTATTTAAAAATGCGGCAATCTGATGTATCGAATACGGCAACTCTATCAAACTTGATGGCAACACTGAGTTACTTCATGATTTGTCTTTGTCTATTGAATGACAAATGCCATTTGAGTGACATGAACAAAACATGGCGTAACTTGTCTAAGCCAATTCCTTGTTTATTAATAAGGGGGTACATGTTTAGTGTAGTTTTTCAAATATAAACAGGAGGCCTACTTTATTTCAACAAAAAATTCAATTTCGCACGTTTGCTACTCTGTTTCCTTTTCATTTCGAAAACTCGTTCGTCCGAAAATAGTTTGACAATTAAATTCTCCAACCCTACTCTAATTCACAAAACTTTCAAACGTAAAGTTGAATTGGACATGATTTACAAATTATATTGGACAAAATTATATAATAAATTACCTGACAGCATTAAATATTATAATACCAATACATTTAAAAAAATACTGACGAAATTTTTAGTGGATAAATGTTATTATAATGTAAATGAATTTTTAATGGATACTGACATTTCGATTTAAATTTTATTTTTTATTTTTTTATTGATGTATAGATTAATGTATTGATTCTTTTATTATGATATGATTTTATTGAATTTAAAATGATAACAAATTTTCGTATGCTGTTGAGCATGTCATGAAGGCACATTTATATAAATTTTAAAAACTTATTGTTACCGATGACAACGAATAAATGATTTGATTGATTGATTGATTGATTGACATGTCCGAGTAATTGTTCTAAATTTTAACCTCAAATTGACGAAATGAAAAGTGTTGCCTTTTCTTTTTCGCTTCGGGACTTTTGTTTAAATTAAGCCTCAAATGAATGACAGGGTATTTTTAAAATCAAGGCAGCTTAGCGTGAGGTACAGTTTTTAGCATGTCAAATTAACAAATACATCAAATGTTAATTAATTATTATATTTCCAATGTTTCAAAGTATTAAACGACAAATTTAGGTTGACATACAATGAAGTGCATCAACTCTACAAATTAGTCGGCTAACACTGTCAAAGAAGGTTCTTTTAATGTCATCAAAAATGTTGTAGTAAAGTAATATTGTTCTCAAGTAAAACAGATAATCTAAAAAGTGGAGATAAAACAACTCAAAAACATGACTCATTCCATTCGTTCACGTAAAATGTCTGTGATTCCGAACTTTATGTGCGTGTTCGAAAATGAAATCGAAATTTCGTTTAAATTCGTTCGTTACCGAAATTTCTTTTCGGAGAAAGAGAGTAGAGCTCCACGGAAGCCATTTTTCAATAATAATCGTCATAGTTACCCTAAGCCTCTTGCAGTAGGTGTGGTTGGCAGGATTGTAGTAGTCGCAGAACATGCTCTGGCCGTCGATCCGGGTTCGATGCCGGCTGCCGAAGGACGCCTGAGCTTCGTATTTGACGAAACACTTCTCCATGTGCTTGACGGCCGTACGCGAGTGGATCTCGTGGCCGCACGTTATGCAATACATTGAGGTCTCGTCATCCGCTTCCTGTACAAAATCATAGCGAAACAATCAACATTTATTACAGTTACTAGCGGCCCGCCCTCGCTTCGCTTCGGTGTAGAGCTGTAGTGTAAACTATAGTTTTTGTTCTCAGGCTTGTGCTATAAACAATAACTTTATTTATATAATTACACGTGTTATTGTGAGTCAACCATAAAAGATAGACATATGCTGTTGCGGGATATTTTTTAGACAATTTGTCGCGGTCTGAATGTAGCCTATCCAGCGCTTTATATCGCTGCAGACCGCTTTCAGCACATTATGATCAATCTATTCCTTTTTTTTCTTTTTGTAAGTATCACGACTTACCTTGTCGTCACTATTCAATATAGTGGCATTCTTCGCCCTGGCCACTAACGCGTCGAGGTCTGAATGTTGTCGATCTAGCGCTCGCAGCGCTGCCTGCGCTCGCTCGATGTCGCTGCGGACCGCTTCGAGCGCTTTACGGTTGTTTTGTTCAGCTACGCAAGAGGATAGGGACCACTCTTGGATACGTTGCGGCAATACCTGCAAGGAAGACCTATCATTATTATTAGCTTTTTAATGTCCCACTGCTGGGGCACAGGCCTAAAAATTGTTAAGTCTTAACGACTACAAATGGAGACTGGAACAATGGTTTAACGTGCCTACTAAATACGCAACGGGCATGTTTAATATTTATAATGTGAAAATCTTTCATGAACTTATGATTTGATTTAAAGTCTCATTCCACAATAGACTAATAAAATGTACCAACAGCATTGTTTCGGCTGTTTTTCGAACTTTATATATGTATGATTTAAATTTTTGTAATCACAAAACTTAATAGAAATTAATACAATATGGAATAATGATTGACAGTTAAATGACTTAGAATAATGTATGTAATTAATAATGTTTAATTTAAATTTTGACGAAACGTAAGTGGATTTAATTGTAATTAATAATCTATGGGACATGTATCTGAATGCATACCAGTGCCTGAAATAAAAATGATTTATTAATATTTTTTATTAAATAGACATAGGAGTCTGAGATATGAAACAAAAATTAAAAAAAAAAACATATAACTTGATATAATTTTTCTATGCAAAGAATTCTAATTGTGAGACAGAAGAAATTGGTACCCAATTGTTTCAGGCTTATTAGTAAATATATATTTATATTTAATGAATACCATTCTATGATGGAAACAAGTCTATGATGTTTTAATATATTAAATATAATAATACTATAACTTAGTATGAGCTGTATTTCTAGTTATACAGAAGCAAAAATCTTGAGCATAAATCATAAACAATGGAATAATAATGGATATTGCACAAGTAGCAATTTTACGCCCAATGTTTAGGGCACAATTTTGTTTCTCTTAGGTTTAACTGAAGATACATATTATTTGCAGCTACATTTACCAGAAGTAGTAAGAAACACAAAAAAAAAATGGCACGACTTAAAATGAACAAAAAAAAAACAATGATAAACGGTCAATAACGGCTTTTCAACAAAAAAATGCCTATATGGAGGAGGTTGTATACATTGTTTGAAAGTTCGTAATTACGGGACATACAACGGAGCGTGCGGTAAAACATTTTACAGCACGCTCCCACACACGGCGCAGTGCGAATCCTTTACGGTTTTTTTTTTATTTCGGAGGAACCTCATTGGAAGCGCTTTTAGGTTATACCTTTGACTCACTGTCTCACTTCACTACTGCGACGCCATGTGGAAATGCGCGCCATTTTCTGATTTGAAAAAGGTTTGATTCAATACTAAAATTAGGTATAGATACTGTTTTCTCGCAAATATGTTGAAAAACGTTATTTAACAGTCGTGCGGAATTGGTTTTTACAAAGTCGTGTCTATGGGCATTTTTTCAATTCAACAAACCCTCAAATTCGTCTCGGGCTTTCATTCGTCTACTCGTTTGTCTATTATTATTATTATACCTGATCTAAGATTAAAACAAAAAGGGAAGATACGGCACTCACGGCTCAAAAGTGATCCGCTTAAATTGTGGTGCATGACCACAATTCGCTTTAGTCACAATTGGGCATTCAAACACGCTGCATATGCACCCAATATAACAATATTGCGTATATTCAGTGTTATAAAGATAGAAACAATGCCTTCGATGCTTTTATAAATAACACAAATAGTTCAAAATCAAATAACAAATGCCTCGGCTAAACTTTTCATTCGTAAAACTGTAAAAACATTTTTGACGTGACAACGTCTTAAATTAGGTTGCGGCTGGGAGTCACTTATGAAAAAGTGTAACGCTCGGTAACGTTACGATGAGTCTCTCGTGTTAAGTTTAAGTTTACATGTACAATGTTTTAGTAAACAAAATATATTTCTATAGTTAAAATTTGTGCAATTCTTATTTTCATTCAATTCCTTGTTCCTATTGTGCAATTTAATTATATTCATATCAATAAATATTCTACCGAGAAAAAGACGTTGTCACGTAAAATCTTCGCCCGTAAAACCGACTTTACAGGCAACCATTTTTTTTTCTCAAAAACCACGGTTTGTCGTGAATGTTATTTACGTAATCGCCGTTTTATTGTTATCAAGAAAAGGACAAGAATACAGCTCAGCCGTGCGGACTCGGAAGCGGACTCGCGGTTTCGCTCGCGCTGCGTTGAAGCGTACAGTCTATAAAGTCGTGACATGAATGTTTGAGGAACTAACATTGTTCATGTTTCAGACTCCAAAAATCAAGAGGTTCATTTCTGGGATGTAGTATTGCATTGTTTAACAAAGTTCCCCAAGATCTGATGGAGCTTCCACTAACCAAATTTAAATCTCAGATCAAGAATACTCTTATGAATAAGGGCTATTATAAAGTTAATGATTATCTAAATGATCGTAATGCATGGACATAGTGTTTCTTGTAATTTCTTATTTGATGGGTATGAGTCAGTTTTGTAACAGTAATATGGTACCTATCTAATGCCGCTTCCAATATACTAAATATAAAATTTATTGTAACTATATATCTATATCCTAAATAATGTAATGGAAGGTGACTTCAGAAGTATGTCTGAAGTCATTTTTCAACTTGACGACTCTGTATATATCAATACAGGGAGAAAAAAGCAGCCCTTGCTGAGTATCTTGCCGGTTCTTCTCAGTACAAGGTCTCCCGCCGTAGTTTTTCGAACCGATGGCGTAGCTTCTTGACCTTCACAAGTGCTTGTAACAGCCTAGACTGAATAAATGACTTTTCATTTCATTTCATGTGTCTCGCAACACCAAACTTATGTAAATCAGCTGTCATCGAGTTTCAGTTTTGGAACAGTTTTCCTTTTGTATTTTTTATTGCTTGGATTAAACTGTAATAAATTAAGACGAAACTACGCAGAAAGGTATAAAAATGAGTAAAGTAAATCGGAGTGGCACGCGGCAAGTGATTTTTAAAGTTTTCCAGCGATGTTTCGAAGACTACCAAGCGGACGAATTTTGTGGGATTTGGATGATGTTTATAGGCGAACAGCATCTATGACGGGTATGTAATCGTGTAACTAATTGTTTGTAATCTGCCTGAAGTTACAAATTTACTCAATTTACGATTTTGAGACCAAAAAAAGGCATTGTTTACATTGCACATTTTTAGGTTAGATTGACATTGTAAATAGGTAATATTGTAGTACGACCATTTCTTTTGATACGTTATTATGGTTCAACTCGGTCAGGTTTTCTACCAATTTTGAATTATTTGCTTCATGTCAATAAGTTATTGTTTCTATTCCGTTACATATTTTTTTACTTTTTTTTTTTCAGGAAAATCGGAGAGTCGGATAGTCAACGAAGGTTTTAAGAATGATGGAAAGTTTGAAACTCCTAGGAAAACAGGCAAGGCTGACCAAAGAAAGAAATCGTCACATAAAGAACCATGGCCTGATGCTTTTAGTGAAGATACCTTACACTAATTTTACTAACTGCACATTTACAAATTGTTTCTCTAAATAAACTTTTTATAAATTATATAATGATTCTTAGTATTATTTTCTTAACAAGTGTGTTAAAAAACGTCGTATGATGATACTTGTGTGTATTGATGATTACCTAACGGCTCTGGTTTCAATGGCACCTCAGCGGTAATCACCAACATTACACACTTTTACACTATAAAGTACTATTTTATCTATAATAATTTTATTCTGATTCAATTAAATATGCTTGGCTAAACTTTTTATAAGCATAGGTACCTACTATATATAAAAGAGAATCAAAATAGGACTGTATAGTGTGTCTTATTAATTATCTATTTTACTTGAATGAACTGCTAGTATCAAAATCATTTTGGTCCGACTGTATAGGGTTGCTACATGCATACTAGTGGCGCCATCATTTAATGTTACGACTTTATAGACAAACTGTACAGTTCTGTCTCGCTCGCCAGATCGAATGTTAAAGCCTATTCTAGACGGATGTAATCCAGCGTATCAACCAAGGTGACCTTGGTGGGAAGTTGGTTTCCATCCGCGTTATGATTTTCGGCTACACGGATGTAATCCACGCGCCAACACGCAATCGCGAGCCGTCTTCTGGCGTGAAAACCCGTATGCACTTGTATCATGCGCAGACTGTATTAACCGTGTTGTAGAAATGGAAACCCCGTATGCAATTGTATCATGCGCGGACTGTATTAACCGTGTTGTAGAAATGGAAACCCCGTATGCAATTGTATCATGCGCAGACTGTATTAACCGTGTTGTAGAAATGGAAACCCCGTATGCAATTGTATCATGCGCGGACTGTATTAACCGTGTTGTAGAAATGGAAACCCCGTATGCAATTGTATCATGCGCGGACTGTATTAACCGTGTTGTAGAAATGGAAACCCCGTATGCAATTGTATCATGCGCGGACTGTATTAACCGTGTTGTAGAAATGGAAACCCCGTATGCAATTGTATCATGCGCGGACTGTATTAACCGTGTTGTAGAAATGGAAACCGCGTATGCAATTGTATCATGCGCGGACTGTATTAACCGTGTTGTAGAAATGGAAACCGCGTATGCAATTGTATCATGCGCGGACTGTATTAACCGTGTTGTAGAAATGGAAACCCCGTATGCAATTGTATCATGCGCGGACTGTATTAACCGTGTTGTAGAAATGGAAACCCCGTATGCAATTGTATCATGCGCGGACTGTATTAACCGTGTTGTAGAAATGGAAACCCCGTATGCAATTGTATCATGCGCGGACTGTATTAACCGTGTTGTAGAAATGGCTCCAAAATTGTTTAAATTTCAAAATGTGGGCTTTGCCTTAACAGTTTTGTGTGCAATAGACGACGAGAAACAACAAAAAAGACAATGTGGATGAAACGTTGGTTACAACAGCGAATGATTCTCAGCCATTCTAATTCATTCAAACTTATAGGAGTTATTGGACTTTAACGATATTCATAACTTCCTAAGAATACGTGCACGTATACGTGCGCATCCATCGACTGCGACAGCGCAACTGTCTTTGTTTGGATGTAATCCGCCGGCCAAACGCTTGTAATCCTC